CTTGCATTTTTAAAATCTCCACTAAACATAACCGCATAAAGATCCGCAATTTACTAATAATATTATGAGTTAGAGAAAATGGATGCTGGGCTATTGCAAGTCCATTATTTCTTAAGATTTCGATTACTTGATTACAGCATCTGCTTGATTAGTATTTATTAATCATTCATAGAATATAAATGTAAGTTATAATAACTAAATATAGGGGAATAATCTGAATAGATTTAATTAAAAAATTATTATTATTACAGTAATAAAGATAATTAAATTTGGATAACAATTTTTTTATAGAGGTTCAAGAATTCATGTAAAATTGTTGATAAAAAATCGTGAGGGAATTAATTTAAAGAGAATAATTTTGTAGAAGGGTCAAAGATTAGAATATATTATTTGACATATTTTGATTTATTTGAAATTATTTCTTTCGAAGTGAATTCTTATCAAGTGAATTATTCCTGAATTCTTATCACGGAGCGAAATAAATTTCCGGGACAACCTAATATTTCGAAGTGAACCAGTGACACAGATGTACTCGCAGATTACTTGACAATTTTTCCGCTTGCTACAGGCCCTCGAATATTTTGATTTCGCGAAGGAAAATATAAACAATTGCTGCACCTGATATCACGGTGTCAGAAGTAAAGGATACGATCCGATGGCAAGGCCGCGAATACGAGCGACACCGGTTATCGGCACCGGCATATAAACATTTCCTCGAAATTCGCGGAGGTCTTGGCTCCCAGTATATCCACCTATTATCCGTATTAATTTAGCTGCGCCAACCCTCTCCGGATATCTCTATGCCCTGCGCCCGTCGTCGGTCCCCACCGTTTTCCGTGCGGCAATTTCGAATTCCAGGAACCGGCAGCATACTTCTCGAACCGTGATAAGAACCCGAGGGGCGTACGATTAACAGGAAACCGGCGGATTCAACAAACACGCGACGGTCCCGTGAACCGCTCGTCGGTTCGTCGGAGCGACGGAGCCACATCCAACGCGATTCTCGGAGCCGCTTATACCGGCGCGGCGCGCGACTAATTATACGATGAATTATGCAAGGTGCATGTGCACTCGAATCCGAGCGATTCGTTTTGTTACCGGTATCCCTGGCAGTTTCAACGCCGATAATTGATACCTCGCATGGTCTACTGTTTCTCCGGAACACAGGGGCTTTCAACCTACGTTTCAATTCGCTTCTTCTTAACGATAATCGTCGCAGAAATCTGATCAATCGAGATTGCAACGGTGAAAGCGATTTAATCGATTTAAAGATATTATCGTTTTCCGTTCAATTTATTAAGCTTATTGAAAAAGAGGAAGAAAAATAAATGCCCATTAAGCTCCTGCTTCTCGCTGTCGATGTAGACAGTTTTATTCGGCATAAAGACTCGCAAAAGTCCTCTAATCAAATTAGGCGTCAAGTATCAAATGTTGTGTTCAAATTAGTGATTACATTTCGCGGAAGAGACGTAGTCGAGGATGGTAAACCGAATGTTTGCACGCTGCAAATGAGGTTCACTTTCATTTGAATTTTATAAATTCGGATTCGTGCAACATTTATGCACAAATCATTAAATATTTTGTTCATACGCGAAGACATGCCGCACAGTGGACGTAATTAAAGATAGCACTGATTGTGTTTGCAACTGAATAAGTCACTCCCAAATCCTTGACTTACACTGTTCATTCATGAGCTCGAACTTGCGTAACACTTCGACGACCAGGAGTGACTCAATTATCTTCCAAAAAATGAATGACTAATAGCTGATATTTTAGATTAAGTATTCCGCCTAATCGCGGAACAATATCTCGAAATAATCGCGTAAAAGATAAGTTATACTAATTTTTGATGTAGAGAAATGAACGAATAATAAAAATGAAGATGAAAGTGAAAACAATCGAATGTACAATAGATGTATAAAGCAAACAGAAATTAAACATTCTAGCTTCTGACAACATTATAGAGTTGATATTTAAATTTATTAAAACGATCGATGCAGTCGGTAACGTCAGCAATTAGTGTTAGTCAAATTGAGAAATCGGTGTTCAAAGGATCAGGATATGTAGAGAAACGAGAAGCATAGTAGTGATAAGGCAGAAAAACTCGGCGGATTCTCATTTGAATCGCTTCTAATGAGGAACACGGCACGATTCGAAAATGAGGATCATGTCCCTAGATAATCCCTACGACCTCTGCGAAAGCCATGAAAATGTTAATTATTACGTGCAAGGTGAAGGAATGAGTCATTGGATATTCCAGTTCGGTTACACGTGGAGGAAATAAAGTGTCCCTACGCGAAGCGTGAATAGACAGCGTCGATCGACGAGTCGGCGAACCAATTTGCATCTGCGATTATCGGCCAGCGATATCGATCCGCGGCGAGGATAATTTCGGCTTACGTAACGAGCTAAAGATCGGCCGCGAAACCGGTACAAGGTAAGACGCCGATGCAGTCGAGAGCCCGATCTCCGGAATCCGTTCTAAATTCAATTCTCGCGTGTCTTTCTCGCGGTTTCTTGGTCCGCGCGTGGTCGCATCAGCTGCCGCTGGTCCATCGGCTGATTATGCGAACGAGCATCCCACTTTGCTGAAAACTACTCGGGATCCAACTCGTTCAAATGAAATCATCGCGTTCCGCGGAATCGGAATCGGAATCGGGAGATCTTTCGACCTGCGATTGCACGCAGTTTGCAAGCCATGCAAATGTTGTTCTCAAATTAGATTAGATCGATAACCCTCCAACCGCGAGCAACGTGGAATTTGTATTGCAAATATTTTGTAAAATTGAGCAAAATAAACTAGATTCTAAAACTTTTAAATCTCACGGTATTTTTCTTAGGACGTGTCTGCATAACAAATGAACCTAGCGAGCGATTTCATACTGAAAAATCGAAAACTCGACCGCGGTTGGAGGGTCAATGGACGCTTGGTGATAAAGCTAGCTTAGGGTGATGTACAGGGTGTCCCAAAAATGTCTCGCAATCCGAAAGTGGCGGGTTCCTCAGGACATTTGAAGCAACTTTTTCCTTTACAAAAATTTTCTCCGAGGTACCGTTAACGAGTTATTAACGAAAAACAGTGACTAATGAGAGGCGAGCTCAGCTGGCGCGAGGCGATCGAGCCAATGAGCGGAACTGGGCTTCGTGCGCTGGTTGGCTGGGCCGCCTCGCGTCAGCCGTACTCGATTCTTATTGGTCACNCTGATTGTGTTTGCAACTGAATAAGTCACTCCCAAATCCTTGACTTACACTGTTCATTCATGAGCTCGAACTTGCGTAACACTTCGACGACCAGGAGTGACTCAATTATCTTCCAAAAAATGAATGACTAATAGCTGATATTTTAGATTAAGTATTCCGCCTAATCGCGGAACAATATCTCGAAATAATCGCGTAAAAGATAAGTTATACTAATTTTTGATGTAGAGAAATGAACGAATAATAAAAATGAAGATGAAAGTGAAAACAATCGAATGTACAATAGATGTATAAAGCAAACAGAAATTAAACATTCTAGCTTCTGACAACATTATAGAGTTGATATTTAAATTTATTAAAACGATCGATGCAGTCGGTAACGTCAGCAATTAGTGTTAGTCAAATTGAGAAATCGGTGTTCAAAGGATCAGGATATGTAGAGAAACGAGAAGCATAGTAGTGATAAGGCAGAAAAACTCGGCGGATTCTCATTTGAATCGCTTCTAATGAGGAACACGGCACGATTCGAAAATGAGGATCATGTCCCTAGATAATCCCTACGACCTCTGCGAAAGCCATGAAAATGTTAATTATTACGTGCAAGGTGAAGGAATGAGTCATTGGATATTCCAGTTCGGTTACACGTGGAGGAAATAAAGTGTCCCTACGCGAAGCGTGAATAGACAGCGTCGATCGACGAGTCGGCGAACCAATTTGCATCTGCGATTATCGGCCAGCGATATCGATCCGCGGCGAGGATAATTTCGGCTTACGTAACGAGCTAAAGATCGGCCGCGAAACCGGTACAAGGTAAGACGCCGATGCAGTCGAGAGCCCGATCTCCGGAATCCGTTCTAAATTCAATTCTCGCGTGTCTTTCTCGCGGTTTCTTGGTCCGCGCGTGGTCGCATCAGCTGCCGCTGGTCCATCGGCTGATTATGCGAACGAGCATCCCACTTTGCTGAAAACTACTCGGGATCCAACTCGTTCAAATGAAATCATCGCGTTCCGCGGAATCGGAATCGGAATCGGGAGATCTTTCGACCTGCGATTGCACGCAGTTTGCAAGCCATGCAAATGTTGTTCTCAAATTAGATTAGATCGATAACCCTCCAACCGCGAGCAACGTGGAATTTGTATTGCAAATATTTTGTAAAATTGAGCAAAATAAACTAGATTCTAAAACTTTTAAATCTCACGGTATTTTTCTTAGGACGTGTCTGCATAACAAATGAACCTAGCGAGCGATTTCATACTGAAAAATCGAAAACTCGACCGCGGTTGGAGGGTCAATGGACGCTTGGTGATAAAGCTAGCTTAGGGTGATGTACAGGGTGTCCCAAAAATGTCTCGCAATCCGAAAGTGGCGGGTTCCTCAGGACATTTGAAGCAACTTTTTCCTTTACAAAAATTTTCTCCGAGGTACCGTTAACGAGTTATTAACGAAAAACAGTGACTAATGAGAGGCGAGCTCAGCTGGCGCGAGGCGATCGAGCCAATGAGCGGAACTGGGCTTCGTGCGCTGGTTGGCTGGGCCGCCTCGCGTCAGCCGTACTCGATTCTTATTGGTCACCGTTTTTCGTTAATAACTCGTTAACGGTGCCTCGGAGAAAATTTTTATAAAGAAAAAAGTTGCTTCAAATGATCCGAGGAACCCACCATTTCCGGATTGCGATACATTTTTGGGACACCCTGTATATTATGATAGCTTTGCCAGGTTGTCGAGATCGTGTAATAGATTCAGTAGATTTAATAAATCTGGTATACATTTAGTTTAATAAATATAGCAGATCTTTCTTTGCTTTGTTCTGTAGTTTCACATTTATTGAATAAACTAACTACAAGACTTCAAATCTATTTCTTGATTTTGCAACACGCTAGACATCACACACACAGTAAACATGAAATCTGTTACTTAATAATTATTCTATTTATTTATATTCTATACTTAGACCGTACAATCGAGGTTCTACCGCTCAAATATTTGAACAACTTCAAAATTATGTCATTTTCAATTCGCTATAGACATTAATGAAAGAAATAAATAGCTACGTTTCTCTAATAGCAATGTTTCTCCCGTTTTGTGTCCCACTTATCTATTTTTGTCGTCGCAGATCCACGAAATCCGTAATCTGATCGTATATTTTGGAATTGCCTTCTCAACAATCCAGTGGTCCTACAAACAACGTACTTAAAATATTTCGTCACAATTTATGGAAATGAAACGTCGGACTACAGAGACATAATCAGCTTACGCGCTCGAATCTTAGGGCCGGTCATTACGTTTCCGCAGTAAATGGATCCATCCTGACGTCAGTGTATCTTACCGCACACGGGCTACCGGAATTCCACGACTGCGGAACATTAAAAAAAAAACGTAAGAGCAGCGGGTTTTCCACGAAAACCGAAGCCGCAGAGGCCATTGAAATGTCAGGCCAAGATCAACGGAGCGCGCTCAACTCGGTCCGGTGGGCGACTTCAAGGTCGCGTCGCGAACAAACTACATACATATGTACGACGATCAGCCGTCACCGTCGCGCTTATCGTTATTTTCCATAGTGATTAGGGCTTTCCGCGAGACAATTGTGGCTTCGGGCGCAATCAGTTGCTCTCTGAAACGGCTTTTTCAATCTCATCGTTACGTCTGCGCAACGAGATGTTCATGCCGAGACACCCAAGTGTCTTACTTGCGGATTCGCTTACTGTTCTTGGATTCCTAATTCGGGTTCTTAAATTGTGTTCTTTTTCAACATTTATTTCTCGAATTATGCTTCTTAAATATTATATCTTAAATCTTGTCACTTAAACTATGTTGCTTAAATTCTGTCTCTTAAATTATGTTTCTTACATTTTATTACTTTTTTAGGTTGCTGCGGAAGTTCATTTTGTAATGCGTATGTGTTCCATATGTTCTCATCCATATGTTCTCAATTTTACTAACATTTTAATGTTTCTTTAGGTTTCTTAGGTTTCTTAGGTTAAATTCTGTTTCTTAAATTATGTTTCTTACATTTTATTACTTTTTTACGTTGCTATGGAAGTTCTTTTTGTAATGCGATCTTCATCCATATGTTCTCAATTTTACTAACATTTTAATGTTTCTTCAGGTTTCACAAATTAAAACGTGCCCTCGGCTTGCTCGTAAAACTATTTTAATCTTGCATTGCACCTGGTCGTCGCAAATGAAACGAACTTTCAAGGCAAAGTCGCAAAATTAGCCGTTAGCGTTATAATTTTTACAACTTACAGAAAGGGAGAGAGAGAGAGAGAGAGAGAGAGAGAGAGAGAGAGAGAGAGAGAGAGAGAGAGAGAGAGAGAG